GGAGGTTCAGGAATATCCCGAAATTAGTGTTAAGAGCAGACATTTTGCACGAGGAAAAGCTATAACCTTTTCATTTCAGAAAAGTTTGCTAAACTAAAAAATTCGAAATCCTTATTTTTTTTCTAATATCTTATGCTGCGATGAAGGTACCTACTTTAATGAAAGCAGAATTTTTAAAATGCATAATGCTCATCAGTATTCCTATGTTGGTGACAACCCCCATGCCATAAAAGAGACGAAACATCGGGATAGATTTAGCATAAATGTTTGGATAGGAGTTCTTGGAAGTAATCTACTAGGACCAGTGCAACTGTCTAGCCGGCTAAATGGGGAAGATTACACAACTCCACAAAAAAAAATTCTGTGGATCGAACTAGACAACTACTCGTAATATCCATATGTTTTCGAGGTCGCTGAGTCCGAAACCGAGGTGCGTTTGACATTGTCGGGTCAGATTCAAGGTCATTTTAAGGTCAAATCGAGAAAAATTCACTATATCAGTATCAGCAAAGATAATAAGTTTATTAATGCAGAGATATGATATTCGGGCAGCCTATATGTAAAAATTTCATTACGTACGAGTTATAAAAAATTTATCATTAATGGAATGTGAATACTCATGTGTCCAGAACCTTTAATTCCGAGAAGGATGGAAGTGTTAGTAATCAATAATGCTGTATAAAATTATAGTATCGGATTTTCAAACGTGACTCAAAAAGATCATGCTAATGTGAAGACTCGTGAATGTTCTGTCTTTCTGTCCATTATAGATGATCGAGGCAAAAATTGCTTTGTAAGCAAGCCAACTAATAGGTATTAGAATTAAGTAGCTTTCAAATAACATTGACCCTGATGCAACAAGATCAAATGGAGTCCTAATAAAACGACCAAAAAAACCTGGAGTATTCCCACTAAACCCTATTTAGAAGTTACTCAGTTCAACATCAAAATGACATTGATCTTGACCAGGTAGAGACAAAACGAAACCTAATTTGGACTCAACGACCCGAAAAAACATTTAATTACTTTGGTTGCCCCCGTTATAGTGGATTTTTCTCAGTTTGACCTTGGAGTGACCTTATAATGACCTTGACCTGAGCTAACAAGGCCAAACATACCTCGGATTCGGATTCAGCGACCACAAAAACATATAATAACCATGGTTGCCCCCACCATATGGGATTTTTCTCGGTTTGACCTTGAACCTTTCATTTAACCTGACAGGGTCAAACGGCTCTGTTATCTTCATTTTTTGGAGAAAATTTTACCAATTTTATTGAACCACATACCTTTGGATTTTTCATAGAACTTATGGTTTCCACATGACGGTTGTCCGGTTCACTTCAGGACAAAACTATTCATGAATTTTTAATACTTACGGACATCAATGGATTGGAAGAAGGGGTCTAGTTGCTTGGACAGCAAAGTCTGCCGGTTTAAATCCTTACAATTTTTGTGTGATAGGGGATACCTAAAATCATTAGTCTATTTTCAACCATTTACATAAACGTGAATAGCTTTGGGCACGAATTCAACACGCCTGTAATGTATTTCATAAAGACTCAGCAATCATTAGAGGAACGAATCACTTTATACACTGAAAGTAATGGCCGCCATGTAGAGCATTTTTTTATAAATTCAAGTTTATTTTTGTTTATCGTTGTTTTGCTATAATTTTTGCCAACTTTTTAATAGAATTCTTTTTTATTTGTTTTCCAGAGCCAACTACTAATGTGCAGAAAACAACCATTTCAAATAAATTTTTCTCACATACTTTACTCAAGACAATAAAACCTCTTTAATCTAGAATACTCTGAAGTTTTCGATTTTGATATTAAAAATAGCAAAAAGTCGAAGATAAAAAATATAATTAAAAATATTAGTTGACCCTCCCAAATATGACGCCTATTGTTACAATTAAATTCATTTTCAATAATTTCAATCATTATTACTTTAAAAGTTATCCGTATAAGTGTTAACATATAACCCAAGTTTGATCCTTCTAGATAAACAGCGATCTAAACAATTAAAAAAAAAACAATGTCAAAGGGCCATCTTCAAAGAACTCTCCCCTAGGAAGCATTTTTTTGGATAATACGACTTGTGTCAACTCGATACGAAATCATCCCTAGAATTTGCTGTCTTCGTTTGTCGGTTTAGTGTCCGGACTACAGAGATACCTTCTATTTACGATACTAAAGGAAAGGAATATCTAATTTCAGAAGAAGGAAGGTTGATATGCATTCGTTTGCCAATTAGTTTACGTATAATAGAAAACGAAGACGGCATATTACATAACTGTATTTTACAATGAGGGAAACATCTACACTTGCATATGTATAATGCAACATTTCCATAACTACAGTTATTTAACATTTAATATATTCATATGTTAAAAGCCTTTCAGTTTCTTACTGGTAATGTTTGCGATAACGAGTACTTTTCACGAAATATGTAAACACATACTTTATGAAGTTACTAGAACACTTAAAGATTGTCCGATACCAATGTCCACTGGATTAAAAAAAATTCTTAGAATGGGGTCTGATAAAGATGCATACCTTAAATATTTACAGCGATTTTCTAAAGATTATCAGTCTATAAATATATTTTATACAGCGTAATCAAGAAACGTCTTTTATGTAATATTAAGGAGCAGTTAAAGATACGCAGTAATAGACGAAATAAAAAAAATAGCTTTAGTTTTAATTGTCAAGTAAACTTATTTGTCTATTAAATCTATGTTTATCCTTCACTTATACGGATATAGACTTAAGTGGCAAATAAACTTATCAGAATGTGGAAAAATCGGCCCTTATTATTATATACACATGGATCCCTGAGGTGAACATGCAACCGAAAAGACTACACAGTCAAAACAAATATATTTAAATTGAAGTTAATATTGCAGATACTGTCATGTCAAATTGTTGCAATTAATTTTGAAATACCTAATTGAAATACCTAGAAATTGTTAACTAATGATATGGGAAACAACTACTCTGCGGACTAATGCCCCGACCAGTTTTGACTTATACCCGCTATGTCTAGCAGTTAACCTCATTTGTCAATAAAAACACTAGACATCCGTTCCCGTAAGTATATTTTGTTGAATTAGACATCGAAAAGCAGTGACAAATAATCTTATTGACTTACTTTGTAGGTTATATCTTACTCATAAAACGTGTTATGTATAAGACATCCAAATGGCATACTGCTGACGAATGATTTTTGACGTTTATTAGATATTGCGGCTATAATTCAATGCTGTACTGGGCTGTAGTGTGCAGAGTAGTTGATTCCGATAATATCATTAGTTAAAAACGTAATTTCATCTAGTGCATGTTTGCATAGTACTTAGAAATGTGTTTCATTATTTTGGAGAGAAGTTCAAGTTTTGTATGTTGCAGTTCTTTGCCGTAACAAACGACATCCTTGCCAAATGTGCAAATTTCATATTGTTAGCGAGCGGGCGGCGGTTGAGGCAATGCGGAAAGGAAAAAAAAATTTTTAGATTACCTGGTATTTCCGGAGAGCGTCTTCTTCAAAGGGGCCCCTTGGTGACTCTCTGGAGCTCTTCCGGAACAGGTGGTAGGGTAGGAGGTGGACTGTATAGGCGGAAACGCGGATGCGGAAAATTCGGCACAAAATATTATCACTAGGTACAAGGATACCCGCCGGCGACTCTATTCAGACTGTTTAAAATGCCAGAGTGAGCGCGTAAGTGCCCTCTGGCGAAGAGAGTATTAAGAAAATAACAAAAAATAATAATAATAAGAAAATACTTGTTTAAAATTAACATGTAGGCGTGAACACATATTATTCAACATCCCGTAAAAATAGACAGGGTGTTTCTAAAACTTATTGACAAATGCATATTTTTCCTTATGAGAAAAAAAATTCTTAACATTATTTTATAAGTTTATATGTATAAAATGTAGATACTTTATAATGTTTATATTTTAATTTATTATTGCTGATATATTAAAGTGAGGCAATTTTGCAACATACAATATTTAACATATAATGTCATCATCATATGATGATGACATAAAAGTCAACAATTGTTTTGCCTAAGAAATACTGAAGTGTTTTTTCCCAAACTCTAAAATTTGTATATGTTATATGAGTAATTAATTTCATTTGGTTTAGTCAAGAACAGTAATTGAATATGTAGGTTCAAAACTTGATACAGTCAATCTCTCATAGCAGTTATCTACAAGCAAAATTTGGTCAAAAAACTAGATAGTGGTGTCAACCGTAGAAAAAAGTAATTTGACATTGCGCATAATTTTCTTTACTTATATAGATATATCATTTCCCCATAAAACTTTTGTGTTTCTCGAGCTACTCTTGTAGAATATGCTGTTTACTGTTAAAAATCCTTAAACCACATAAAGTTGGACATTTTTAACAACGGGGCATATTTCAGAATAACCTGAAATTGTGCACAAATTCGCAATTATTGAATTAATATTCAGAGGAATAGATTGAAAATTTCCATTATGTAGGTACCACTAATTGCTGAGAAACTAGAGCAAAATAATTTACTTCACTTTGATGAGCACATAACTTTCCATTATTTTTGAAATTTTAATCGTGATTGGCGCTTTCTATGGAAAAAACTCAAGTTGTATCTAATTTATAAAATAACTTTTTTACCGTCAAAACTTCAGACGCAATTCATTAGTTTTTTGGTCAAATTTTATATGTAATAATGCCATGAGTACCTGGACTGGACCAAGTTTGAACTTTGAATATTTTTAACGATCCCTGAATAATTGATGAAAAATTATGTTTCACATCCACTGCTTTAGAGTTATAAATCCCTTAGAAATCATTCTAGAATTTGTCTTAGCTCGGTTGTACATTCATTTCAGGAAAGCTATATCAAAACAATTATATATGTAACCATCTTATTCGTATCTTTACTGTTTCTCATTACTACAAAATTGTAGCGCTTTGGACGGTGAATAAACTAAAATAAAGAACACAAAAGTTTAGACACAACTCTCGGGCAACCGGTTAGCCATCAGTCTCTCTTTAATGGCCAGTCCGTTAAGCTCCAAGTCTGTCGCTCTTTGAAGAGTGGCAGAGTTTCCATTTCCTAGGCGGAGGTCCTTTGGCCTGGATTCCCTTGGAAATGTGCCTCCAACCATGGCTACTGGATTGTTGTACTGGTGATACTGGAAATTAAAGATTATGAAGTTACTACAGGAGATAAAGGAAAATCTGCAGTCACATTAGATTAGTAGTAACAAATTATAGCTCTTAAGGTATCTAATTCCTACTGCCAACGAAAAAAAAAACTCAATAGAGTTAAAGACGATTTATTTATAATATACATAAATCTATGCTGATACGGAACTCTGGCAGCATTGGGAATTTAAAACTGTGCTAATTTGGGTATCAGGATATAAAGAGCATTGGAGCAACAAGTTGGATAAAAGCTAAGACTTAAGAATACTTATAAAATATATACAAGATATTATTGCTTATTGCCTAAATTAATGAATCTTAGTATAAATAATAAGTCTATTTTTTTAAAATATCTAAAAATATAAAAAGTAGTTACCTGTTTTAAAAAGAGTGAAATATGAATAACTATCGTCCTATATCAATTATATTTCAGTTGGGAAAAGTAACTAGAAAGGATTTTGTAGAAACAACTAATTTCTTTGAAAACAAATATTTTTTCAGCTACGGGTCTCGCTGAGGTAGATCTACAATCTATGGAATTTGTGCTGTGACTGAGTAAATAATAGAAGCCTTTGAGATGAAAAGTTTAGCTGTACTTTTTGAAATCGGTCGAAGGCATTTGATTACTTGAAACATGGTGCTGAAAAGTTGTATCTGCATTTAGCCTTCAACAATAAAACTTCAATCATGTATAATTGAACAAATTACAATACATAATGGTATACCATCGATACCGTTTTCTAGAAGTCCTACAGTGTCTTTAGGCCACTACAATTTCTAATTTATACGAACGACTCCAGATTATGTAAGTGAATTAACATTATTATTTAGCTAGCAGTAAGCTAGATAAACTAAACAATGATATGCAGCAAGCTAAACCAGGCCCTTATGTGGTCAACTTGCTAACCGCCTAACGATTCTAACAAAAACTGAATGTAACTTGCCAAGTTGGTTGAACTTTTTGCCATAAATCCATGTTCAAGTAAATAACTTGACTCAATTATAGATACGATTATAAAAGATTATGTTGCCCGACAAAATTTAACAGACTTTCTAAACCAGAAACTAGACCATACATTCCCTGAAGTTTTCAACACGCTGATTCTGAATCTTCAGAATAGCTTCATCACAGGTTTTCAAGATATTTTAACATAAAAGGCTAAAAACATGTTTTATGTATATTTGAGGTCATTACATCGGCATATTACATCATTTGAGAGTACTACTCTTCCTCTTCAAAATTTATTTTGAATAATTGGATACCTATCTCTTTTTCTGTCGAATAAATCGTTTGCTGAAAATGATTTGCCGTATTCGTCAATATTCGGAAATTTCAGTTTGCAAGGTTATGGGAATGATCTATTTAGAACTTTCTACACTGAAAGAAATGGGCTTATTAAACTGTTTGTCTAGAATAATGTGTATAGCGCATATTAAAACTTTTATAACCAATATACAACTTTTATTAAAAAAAAGCAATCATCTCCATACTCATTATTCAATGAGTTTAACTGGAAGGTGCTTATGCATCTATGAAATAAAGGTTATAATGAATTACTTATACATTATTAGGTGTTATAGACTTTATGTTCCAATTGTATAGTAGGGAAGATTTGTTGTATAAAGATCAGTATCCGAATTGGTATATAACAATTGTATTAACAGAATTATTCGTTCTTATACTGAATATGTTTCCGTTTTTAACGTGTAAAACGCGTCTTATAATGGTTAAGTGATCGTCACCTCTCGGTGCATAATCGGTTAGGATCGTAAAATTTCCGACAGTCCGCTGTGCATCGACTTACGACTATTACACGTCTAGTTTGATGAAAATGGACAGTATATGCACATGTTTTGTGGGATACATGATCATATCGCGTTGTGTGAAATGGAAAATTATGTAAGTATCTAACTATTTTATGGCTTGTAATTGTTTTGTTTTTTCAAATGTAAATCTTGTCTAAATCTTAAAAATTATTATTTTGTAGGTCCTATTAGAAATCGCTGATGTTAAGTTTTACATAAGATGGAGGAACAGAAGGTTAACGGTGACAAAGAAGAGCATGGGTATAAAGTCAATCAACCAGAGCAAATAGAATTAGATGGAAAGAAGCTCAACCTTTCAGGGGACGCTTCATTCTTAAGGTGAAAGAGTTATAGTGCAAATTCTCATGTAATACAAGAAAATACGGGTGCATCGTTGCTAAGAAAATAAACTGGGCAGTTTTGGGAGCGATTTGTCATCATCTTTAATGTTTAAAAGTATGTTTTATGTATGTTTACATTATAACCTTAGTTTGTAATTACAGTTATCCAATAAAATTTCTGAAAACTTAATGTCATATGTTTTTAACTCATACAGAGTATACAACAGTTTGATACATTTATTATTATAAAACTTATAACCAGTAATAGATATTCTAATAACGATATGGAACACTTTAATAACAGTTATTGCTATTATTTCGTAAAGGGTATAAAAAACTTTTTATACTAGTTATACAATAATATAATAAAGAATAAGGTTTATAGTCACTATACAACTGTGCTAGCAGTACGCGTTTTATATCCAATATTCACCTGTTTAAATGTCACATATAGTATACAATGGTATTATAATGGTATATAGAATTCTAATAAAGAATAAAACGCATTTTTTTCAGTGTATGCTTGAAAATTCAGTCCTCAGGGCAATGAGGTTATAGAGTTTACTGTCTTCGAATGTAAAAACCTTAAGAAAAGTGAAATCCGATTTCTGGTTTAAAATTTTGTCAGTTTGAGTTATCTCGAAAAGCTTATAAGAGTTATTTAGAACATATATTGGGTTTTAACAACTGTCCGTACAAAATTAAGAGTTGGGCAAATTTTGCTAGTTTTCCAAAATCAAGATATTGACTAGTTGATAACATAATATATTTAAAGCAGATATTGCATAAAAGCTCCAACACAATTTTTAACTATAAAACTTGTCGTTATTAGTACCTCATATCATTTTATTCTATAGTTTACTTTTATAGTTTTACTGATTTTAGATTTTTGAGAAAACTTTAGAAAAATAATTCGACTATTGACTAAGGGTGATTTAACAAACTCTAAGAATGTTAAATTGCTTTAAATAATTTTTAATTTTTTATATAACTTTATAGTGTTTTCTCTTTTAATATTTGTCTGTTGTATTTAATATTGGCGATTAATTAATTTATATTTTTTGGAAAACGGTACAAATCTATTAAAAGTAATACCTAAATATGTCATAAAATATACTGCAACCATCATTAACATCAGTAGTACCTTCTAATGTTCCAGTCAGAAATTGGTTATGCAGGGTGATCACAAACGGTGACCAAAAATGAAACCTCGTATTCTTTGGTGAATTTTAAGGGGTATCTTTTGTTTAAAGTTTTTATCTAGGACGCTTCGTTAAAAAGAGACAGGGTGTTAAACTTAAAAAAATATTTTTAATTTTTTTTTAATAATTTAAAGACTGGTAAATGAAATAATTTGAAATTGGGCGCAAGTATTTATGTAAATATTGTCGTAAATCTGAGGCCTTTTTTTAAAGTTTAGATACTGCGGTGGCGGAGATACACGGTATCGGTGGCATATTTTTCTAAATAAAATAGTACTAGTAAGTTTAACACCCTGTATCTTTTAAGAAAGCGTCCCAGAAAAAGATTTAAACGAAAGAATACGAGGTTTCGTTTTTGATCACCAATGAACGAAATACAGTCAAAATACAAACTTTAATTAAAGAAAATGTAAAACTGCATGATGCAGTCGTTGAGTTTCTGCAAGTATTAGAATTCAATTTGGACAGACAAAAGTACAGGGTGTCCCGAAATTCATGCTACAAAATTTGGTCATAGATTCTTAAGACAAATTTAGGGGACCCGTATTTTTTCTTTTTGCCAACTGGCCCCCTCTTTCGGAGTTACAGCCCCCTGAAATCTGCCCCTAAGAAGTCTTTTTTATATCTCAAAACCATGTTGTACGAGAAACACTAAATTTGGTACACAGGGGTTTTATTACATGTGGAATCTCACAGTGCTACGCTTTTTGGCGAGCAACCTTCTTAAGACACTTTTTCATGGGCTTTAGAATCAAAAAAATTTGGTCGGAAATTTGATTTTTTTTTTTAAATTATTAGTTAGCTAGAAAGCCATTGAATTTAGAAACTTTTTTATCTCTTGATATTTGTTTCGTAAAACGCAATGGTTTTGAGGAAAATGGCGAATCACGATATGCATTCGATCACATTTTGACGTTTTTCTTGAAAACATTGCGTTTTACGAAAAAAGTATAAAGAGACAAAGAGTTTCTAAATTTAATGGCTTCCTAGTGGATAGATAATTTTTAAGAAATTTAAATATGTGACCAAATTTTTTTGGCTCCAAATACAAGTGGGCCCACGAAAAATTGTCTTAAGGGGGTTCCCTGCCAAAAAACATAGCACCATCAGATTCCACATGTCATAAAACTCCTGTATACCAAATTTAGTGATTCTCGTACAACTCGGTGGGAAATTATGAAAATCTGATACGCCGATGACCGCTACTATTGATTTTTACGTAATTTATTCTTCGTTTTCCTGCAATACCATTTACCTGATGAACAAAGAACCCGGACGTGAAGGAGATAATGACATTAATGATTTATATGTATCTCCCCATCTCCCCGTATCCTATTAAAGCCCGGCGAGATGGGTAATATTTTTATACCTGCTGAAAATTTCCATATAAATCAATCTCTTATTATCTTCACCCGCGCGTGAAAAATGGTTTGTTAGTAAACTGAATACATTACCTGTTCGATGGGGGCCGTGCTCATAGGGCTAACCCACTGGGGCGCGGGAACGATCGACTGAGCATAATTGGGCGATGCGGCGAGGCTTCCAGCAGGAAGCGTTTGGGGACCATTTAGTGCCCCCACATGTCTATCACTGTCGCCCTCGGGAGATCCTGTCAAGGAAAAACCAAAGCTATTAACATCCATCTTTATATTTTGCTAAAAGAAGCGCTGAGTACCTTGGAGGTGGGGTAAAAGGCGATAGCATCAAGTGCTGTAAAAACGGGGTTTAAAAAGTTTCAAGTTTGCACGGGTGACACTGATTTAGCCGTTCGATTTTGGCTTTAAATGCGACGAAAAACGGTCGCGAGAGATTAATAATAAATGACATCTATATTTTACACAGTAAGGTGGTCTCACATTGCAAACATTTAAATAGGAATATAGAAGGCCAAAAATAGTTGATAAACCAGAGGTCTAAAACGACTGGTTCGAGGTTGAAATAAAAAAATACTGGGCTAATGATTTACTTGACTAAAGCCAAAAATTAAGTAAGTTGGTGACAATGGCGGAGATATTGTCGCCATATGAGCGGATTTAATTTCTAATAACACTAATAATTCTAATAATACTTCTATAGCCGAAAATACACAGTACAAATTAACTCACCCTAAATATCATTTTTAACAAAAGATACAATGATGTTTATGGTTTCTACTTCGTTTAATGAGTCATTTTATAGTCATTTTATATAAGATGATTTTTTCCTGTAAAAGCCGAAAAAAAATATTTTGTTTTTATTCTAGTCATTGCGATAGATTGTGGACAATCATTATTTTACGAGAAACATACGACTTGAATGCCAACCTCTGAAGATAAGTTTATTCGCTATTTACTCTCCACGTGACGTCATATGGTCGCGGGTACGAGCAATGTAATAGCGTCTAGAGATAGCCAGTGCACAAGGTAGGTTCTTAATGCAAAACTGTAAATTGATAAGTTAAGTTAGGTTTTAATGTATGTAAGACGAACCTAAATGATTTAAATTGTAAAAATGATTTTATTTCTTATCTGACATATTGAGGTAAATCACAAATTTGAAATTTAAATATTATAATACAAAATTAACAAATGTCAAAAGATGATAGAATTAAAGGTAGATACAAATTCGATATTAGGATAAAAAAAGATATGTAAATAAAAACATTAATAAACAATTAGAATCTACGCAGTAGATAGGAAAGTTGAAGTGAAGTGAAATAAAGGAAGAGAACGTTATAAGAATATAAAGGAAGGTGTAAGGACCTTAAGGAATAGTGAGGATCAAGGGAAAAACAAAAGAAAGAAGAAACATAAATTAGTTACAAAAAAAAAGGAAGGTGGAAGAAAAAGTCGAAAATTGACGAATTTAGAGTTGTAATAAATTGGAGAAGAATAGCAATATTGAAAGGAATTAAGAAATTATATGCACGTTGTTGTTTAAAGAAAATTTTTGCAAGATGGATCTAATATGTTCATGGATAGAAGTAGAATCCATATTACAGTTCCCAAAGATTTAAAACCCAGGATTATGAAAGAAGGTACATCATTTTATTATACTGCAGTTAGAATACTATGATAGAAAATTGCAATTGTCAATAAAGAGTGACAGATCTGTGAATATTAAAACTAAGATAGACGAAACATTACAGATAGGAAGTTTGAAGGTAAATACTTACCTTTAATAATATTTTGTTAAACCAGAACAAGTTATTTATAAAGAATATAAAGACAATTCATAGACATATTTGTGAACAAAACTTTATGACAGGAACAGTCAAATAACTGTCAAGTATTAGTTTTTCTTCTAAAGGGTTTTCCAATTAGGGCGGGTCGATGTTGACAGTCTATTGCGGCTATGTTTTTTATTCGGCATCTGTCAAATATGTTGCTTATTATTCAGTCACTGATGCCAAATCATCATGTCAAGTTACAAGATTCAACAGCACGTCCAAATGATAAAATTTTATTATCAAAATGAGCGGTCGTTAGTGCAAACGTTGCGCGCGTTGCGCCCATTTTACGGGAGACGCGGTGGCCGTAACGATTTGAGGGTATGGTTACCTCTCGCAGAGGTAACGTGAATTGGCCACCAAGATCGTGCGATTTGATCATGCTTGATTTTTTCTTGTGGAGTTTTCTGAAGTCGCAGGTCTATGCCAATAAGCCGCATTCGACCGATGCCCTCAAAGTCAACATAACCCAGGCCATAGCTCAAATTCAGCCGGATCTATGCGGCAAAGTCATTCAAAATTGGACCTCTTGGATCCGTGCTACCATGCGGAGCTGCGGCGGACATTTGAACGATGTCATATTCTATACATAATGGCATACATAGACCTTTCAAATAAAAAAAGAATTCCGTTGATATCTCACACACAACTTGTTTTATTCCGTATCAACATCGAGCCGCCCTTATTGAAAAACCCTTTATAATAAGGTTGTTGGAAATTAGTTTTAGAATTATGATATTTTAAATATCTGCAATCAGTTATACAAACAATTTTATATAAAATATATATACAGGGTAGCCAATCGAAAACGTACCGCAAGGCATTACAGGGTAGTAAAGAACTTTTCGGCAAAATCCAAAAACAGGTCAAATTTGTTTCTGAGGGGGACAACTTTTGGCTCAAAATGCATTCCAAAATCTTCAAACCCCTAAGTGGGGGTGCTATCCCCTAAATTTTTTCAAATG